GTGAGAAATGATAGAAAATAATTCTTGAAATCGTGAAATTACTGCTTGAAGAACGTGGATGGAATTCTTATTAGTGAGAGATGATGCGGTAACAGTGAAATCACGTGGATAAGTAATCTCTGTTTGCAACGTTGTAAACGATCTAACTATCGCTCACGATCGATTTCTTTAGCACGACTATCTCAATGGAGATCAATGGACGAAATCTTAACGGAGCGTATGAACTCGAGTTGTGAATTTTTCTCTCGAGGAATGTATCCTGATTAATTCAGTAATTCGAAATTCTATTCTCGATCGTTTCAAATGAATCACCGCTAGCTCGCCCTGGCGTAAGTAGTTCAACTTCACTGTTAACTTCGCACAAACTTGTTTTTGAGAACTTTCTCTGCAACACGATAAAAGCATTTTTCACACTTTAAATATCGCCTACCCCTAATCATCTATCTGATTTTATTCTATCCCGAGCAAATTGAATCGAAACCAGGTGATCAACGCAAAAAAGGAAATTCGATTCGAAGAGTCTTTGAGGAATTTACAAACAGAAATGGAAATTTCCATCGCTCAACGACTTGGATCGTAAAAAACGCGTAGAAAAAAAAAGAAAAAAGAAAATAAATTGTGTTGAACGATCGCGCGCAATTTAACGAGCAACGAAAGTGGAGAATCATTCCCTGCTCCGAAGATATTCCACAACTAGATACAAATATTCGCGGAGAGAGTAGATTCGCTGCCTGCAACAGAGGAATCCAAGAAATCTAAGAAGTCGATCTGTTAAAATATGTAGAAACGCAACATCGATGAAAATAGAGAAATATCGAAACGTTGTACTGCAACGATTTTTCCTAACGTGCAAATCGCCCGGCCGATCTCGGCGAATTCCATCGGGCGAAAGATTCGATCGCTTCGCGGACGATCGTTTGAACGAATAACCGAAGATCAAGATCGGTCCTTGACTGAGGCTTCGATACCTGTCGCTTCTAAACGATCGACTCGTTAGGCCAGGGTCGTTAGAAATGCAATAAAAATCGGCGAACGAGCTTGAACAGTTAATCGTTAGAGAGGGAAGAACTTCCTGGTTCTTTCACGTAGCGCAGCAACCGTGTTATTACTCGGAGATTTCACGCGAACTTTATGTTTGGATCACGATTTATTACGTCAGGAGAAACGAGAAACAGAGGAAATTTCGAGGAGAATAGAGTTTAAGCTAAGATTCGTCACCGATCTTTAATTTCAAAGTACCTAATTTTCTTACAGAATATATATATATTTTTTTTTATTATATTTAATATTATATTTATATTAATTTATATTATATTTAATTTTATTATATTTAATAAATATATATATATATTTTTTTTAATTCCTTAATTATTTAATATTTTACCGTATTATTTATTTGTATTTGTATGAGAATCGGCTTTCTACAATGCTCTATTTCATTCGCAGGATTTTCGTTTTTTTTTTTCGAAAGTATAACATGTATAAGTTGTATGCTATCAATGACTGACTAATCGTTTTATTAGAATTTGAAGACTCCAACTTGTCCGCTGTTTCTTTTGAAAAATCATTTTGTGGTCAACTTCAACGTTGTTCCTCGTATCGTTGGAATTTTCTTCCTCGTACTATCATTATTTCTTTTTTATCTCGTTCGCGAGTCCTCAGATTTTGGGTTTGAGAACGAACGCACTTTCTCCTTTTTTTTTTCTTTCTCTGATACGGAAGCTGTTTAGATCGAGCAATTTAATATTTTCTGGCCATAGTTATATACTCAATAAAGACACATGAAGTTGAACAAAAACTTTATTCGATCTCTCTCTCATCAAACCTTAATTTCAATGTTATCTACAGATCTCTATTGTCAATTCTTAGAAAAAGAAAATTTCATATTACATTCTCAAGTCATTAAACTTCTTGTCATTTATAAAATTTACGAAATTCATAAAACATGTTAACATTGAATAAAATAAGAGATCAAACATAAACTGCAGTATGAATCTTGAATCATTAAACACACGATCTTTCTCTACTATTTACTTTCTGTAATCAATAAAATTTGCAAAACTCATTGAATAAAATAGACACTACAAAATTACGTTCACAGACGTAAATTCCGTGCACATCAGATCGCAAAGCGCACAACTTTCTTATACTATTTACTCTCTGTAATCAATAAAATTTACAAAATTCATGAAATAGAATTCGTGCATTGCTTATTCTCTGTAATTCACCAGACCTTCATATCTCTCTACAGCCATTTCTTCAAGGCTCTATGCTTGGAGATATCATGACACTATAATGTAATCCCAAACACTACTTACTTATGTCAACGGACGAACAATATCGAGACGGGTTTCTCACCTGCGTTCAATCCGCCTAGCTCGAAGTGGAATTCATCGAGTAGAGAGTTCACTGTCACGGTCTCGCGATCCACGCGAGGAGAAGAAAAAAAAAAAAAGAAAAAAAA